TAAGTTTTTCCGCTCATCATTTTTCCAGTTACAAGAAGGATGAAGTTTTTTTTTTGAATCATTCGTTGAACCATGTCAGCAAGTACTAGCTCGTACTTTTTATAGTTTCTTTTCAATTGGCGTGCGAAAGTTAAGTTTTTTATCAAACAGATTTTGCAAGAATAATTATTTTTAAACCATAAATCGTGTACGTGAAATTTATCTAACAGACTATTGTACCTAAGGGTTTGGTTGATATAAACAGGCAAAGTAGAGTTCAAATTTTTAGTGACATACAGCGGATCGTAAAAGTATTCAAATATATTATAATTATCGTTTGGATAATTTTCTGTTTGTGTATCATCAGTCATCATTAAATGTAAAACGGAGAATAACACACAAAAAACAAAGATCTATGCAATTAAAACCAAAATGAACTTTTAGAAATCTGTGAAAGATTCACAGCTATTCCTAACGTCGGTTTATAATGTTACCAAAAATGAGTGAATTTGATTTTCGATGATAAAAATAGTAAATTAATTTTTGTGTTAAATATAATCTTGTAAATATTATTAAATCAAAATCTATCACACTAAATCAATTAGAAGTGGCCCTACGTGATATGTACTTAAATTAAATTTCATGCACCATTGTGTTAATAGAATTACAAAATGTAATGAGAATAAATAAACTCGAGAATGTTTACTTGACACTGATAAATATTTTCTTGATTATAGTAGTAACATACAAAAGAGTAATTCAAGAAAGTAATGACGCTTCAGTTTTCGAAAGAGTTCTGTTTCCAACAAGTCGCCAGACAAAATATAAAAGAATTCAAAAAAAGTTGCTGAGTAGATTGAAATTCAAGTTCACCGCTTTTAAACATAAGGTATTTATTCAAAGATACCGTAATTCGTTTATAAAATATTTGAGGAGAAATCCATATTATTCGCACGATCATGATCATGTTTGCTGCAAAACCAATCATCTAAGTTTGACGCAAACAAACGAGAAAAAAGCTGAACTGTTGTGCAACCTCGAGTCGATTGAAACTATGGATTCAGTTCGTTCTAGCGAGTTGTTAATGAGAATAACTCAATCCAGAGGTTTACTACCATCGTGCTCAGAAAGTCATTTTATACCTACTCAAGCCGTAGCTGATTTATTAGATTTTGAAGACCCTTGCGATAAATTTTATCATAACTTGTTTTCAAATCATTTTAGATCCTATAGTACAACAAAAGTTGAAGATTCTACTAAACCCGGATTTTGTTCTACTGCAAACTATCATAGGTTCAGCTTATTATCAAAAGATTATTCTACGTTTTTAATAGCACAATCTAATTCAACAAAAAGCTCAAATTCTGAAAAAATCGAAAACAAAATCGATTGGTTATATTCGTTTAGAGACGTTGAATTCAGTGGAATCGAACAAGAGCAACCATCAGACTTAAATCCTAAAAATCAATTGGATTTCGACCAATACCATGATTATGAAAACTTCATCTTCGAAAAAAACTTTTATGGTTCGACCAACTCTGACCCAGAAGAGTCTAATAGTGTTGCCCAAAAAGAGAATATTCTACGAAACAATTCTTTAAAAACAATAGATAATACGGTTCCAGCAAAGGAAACGAAGATTTATAGCACGTCTGAAGATATCGAGCAATCAACGCTCAACTTAATCGAATCCGTACTAAAAAACAACCTACACAGCATTCTTTGGGAAATAAAAGCAAAGATCGAAAACAATCCTTACATTCCTAACATTCAAGTTGACAATAGTTATCGCAAGTGTTTTATATCAAATAAGCTGTCAAAAGCGAATCTAATTGTAGCAAATAACAAGATAAGCAGTGGTCCAACACGATCTGACGGTATAGAAACCTTTTTAGTGCAAATGCAGCACGATATCCTTACCTCTGTAAGCAAAGTTCCCTCTCAAGATTTTGAATACTTTTGGAAGACTCTAACGCAGAAATCAGTGCTTTCATATTCACAAAGTGGCAGCTGTGTTCGAGAACTAAAACTACTGACGTTGTATGGCGAAGCAATCAGCTTAAAGACCAGTGATATTTTAAAGTTTAAACTTATCAAGACTGACAGGGCGTATAGCATTTATTACTACCAAAAAACAATCATAAATCGAGAGTTGCTAGTCATTTTTTTATTAGATGTTTGTAACAAGTTGCTTGAGGGTGAAAAGAGCTCTTCAAGCTCGCTCAGCGTTGATCAAAATAAGGTAACTCTTTTACCTTCTCTTTCAAATACAGATGAACCTAAAAAATCGATCAAGAGAAACTACGACGCAAACGTTTTTGATATACAAGAGATCTATCAAAAGTTTTACAAGTTCGACAAAAACAGCATCAAACTATGGGCTTTTTTTATTGACACACTTGCTAGTCTAGAAAAGCAAAAAATCCCCAAGATATTTTTTGAAAAAAGTTCCGAAGAGTACGGTACAGACTGTTTCTTCCCAACTCGGCTTTTTTTCAAAACACAGAAAATAGACACCGCAAGTTCTAATTTAGTTGACAAAAACGAGACAACTTATAAGGAACAAACAGATTCTGAGGTGATGCATTTACTAGAAAATGAGATTTACAATGGCTCGACATATCCTAATTTAGTTCACGACACAAAAATAAAGCGTACTCTAATCAACAAATATTTAACAAACTCTCATGCGACAGAGAGTGGATATTTAATATTTGACTTCCCAAAACGACTAAACTTGCTGAAAAACAATTTTTTGATACAAGCATTAGAGAAAGAAGACTTTTGGTCTGAATACGTTAAGACTCCAAAACAAAATATTGCTGTTGTGATTAGAAAAAAAATAAACAAGGATATTTACAAGCCACATATACACGAGTCATTTTTGCTCTGGCTCGCACGTACCAGCACCTACAACAAAAGCTACTTAATCAGGTATTACTTGAATCCATTTGAGACATACACAGTGCAAGTTCCAGTACCCAATTTTGAAGATTTTCTGGCATCCGTATTGACGTACTTCACGCAGAATGATGGCATCGATACCAAGTTGCGAGACATAGCGGTGTCTAAAGTAGATCAAACGAAAAGCATTTCAAACTGGTTTGATTATCAAAAACTGAGTACTACGCCATTTTTATTTGAACGAGACTTTGAGACAGAGTCAGAAATATATCAAGCTGTTGATGCTTGGTATGAAAAGCATCCGAAAAACGCCAAGCCAATGATTGTTCCCAACTCGAACAATAACAGATTTCTGCTTTGGGCGGAAAAATACACATCTCTTTCGGTCGTCCCAACAATAATTAAAGATCTTGAAATTGTCCAAATTGAAACGTTCATGTATCTGCTGTATCAAACGATACGTGACCAGTTGAACGAATCAATGCTCGAACGTCGATTTTTAGCTGAATATTCGCAAAATTTGAAAAACGTTTTCAAACAATCCATGATGAATATCTTTTTGACGGTATCGCTTTGTCTCAGATCAACTCTGAATAAGCTCAGCAATGTAGACCATATTTCTCAGAATTTTGTACAGAGTAAGCTGAGTAACGAGTGCTATGCGCTGTTAATGCAAAACATTTACAAAGACCCAGCATCCATGTCCAAACTAGAACAAATAGTCTTGTCGCGCGCTAGCCCAGACGCAGAGATAATTTCTTCACAATTGTTTCAATGAACCATTTATGTGAAATTTTCAGAACCATTACTAGCTTATTGTGCATAAGTATTTTCATCTTGTACATATTGTAAAGAACTTTTATTTTTTATTTCGTTTTTTAGATCAAGTTTTGCTTCTGGCTTCTGGTCAAAACACGATTTAACATTCCAACTAATGTTTTTATATTCGATTGCTATGTCTTCGAGAATGCTCTCTAAAATTTCCTCATCGGTTTTTTCTTTGGAATGTTTCACGACTTGTTCTGTTTCTTGCGTTGTTAAGTCGGCCAAGAAATTCTCTTTAAAGTTGTTATGCGAGGCAGCTTCGAGTTGCGCAGACTGTTCCGAGTTTTCCAAAGTAGTAACCATGTCCGCGTTTTGATGATTTTTGTGTGATCCGATATTTTCTTTTTCTTCTAATAATATTGATTTATTAGTATTTTCGTCAGTGTAAATTTTTTTGGGTTCGATCGCACTTACAGACGTAGACAGCTCATATTTCATATCTTTTTCCAGACTGTTTCTAACTAATTCGTCTAAATTGAGTAGGCTTTCGAACGAATCTGAATTGATTTCATTTTGATCTAAATCTTTAACTCGAATCACATCTGGTAAATTTTCATTATCATTATTATTTTCTGTAATTGAATTCTTAGGTAAACTTTTTTCGATTTGCTCAGATGAAAGAACGCTGAAAAATTTTTTAGTTGATGTGAACTGCTCAGCAAGATGGTCATCACGCTCATTCTTTCTATACAGAGTAGCAATATTTTTTTTAATTTGTTCACTTGCAGTAGGCCTAACTTCTAACTGAATGTTCTGATTTTCGTCGTTTGTAGGCGTTTGAATATTGTCGTAAGATTGATCGAATTCGCACATATTCATCAAACCAATAATTTTTTGGTTTAAGTTGTTTATATTTGAACACACTGAATCCTGGACACTGCTTTTAACCGATGACTTAGAAGAATTGCAAGACTCTGCTATAGGCGTTTTTTCAAGTTTAGACGGCGTATCTACAAAATTTTCCGGTTTAAAACTAAATAATTCTGGCTTATTCAGGCTGCTACACGTTTTCAAACGTTTCGCCGCAGCTTTAACGCCTTCGACATCCATACCTAAATCCATATAGTTGCTGATTTTATTTTCGATCTCAGCCTTCCAGGACTCTAAATGTTTCTCAAACCTTTCTAAGTAGTTTTGCTTCGTATTAAGTTCATCTTCTTTCTTAGAAAGGTCGTTCTTAAGATTCTCAAGTTTTTTCGACAATACAATCAACTGATCGACTTTTTGTTCAATAGAGTTTTTTTCTTGTTTCAAGTCGGTCTGCATTTTTTTCATCTGTTCTTTGTGCTCACGTTCCTTTTCCAAAAACTTTTTTTCTAGATCTTGTTCTTTGCGTTGCAATTTTTCTTGAAGTGCTTCCATTTCCTTTTTAAGCATCAAGACACTTTTTTTTTCTTTTTTAAATTTAATCTCATCTTGTTCTAAATCTAAAGCCATGTCTGTTACACGCTTTTTCTCAGCTTCAAACTTTCTAATTATAACTTCTTGTTGTTCAGTTAAAGCTAAGAAAGCGCGCTCTTTTTCCTCACATTTTTGCGCTTTGGTATTTAGTTCAATTTCCCATACGTAAAATGATTTTCTCTGCTGTTCTAATTGAGCTTCCTTCTCGTCTAGCCTGCGAATTTTGTTGTTTATATCATTATATTTAGATTCGAGCTCGTTTTCGCCATCTAACATGTTTTTTTCACGCTCTTTAAAAGACTGAGACATTTTGGACAAATGATTTTTCATATCTTGAAGTTTTTTTTCTTCTTCAGACAAGAACTTTTGTTTCTCTTCTATGTGCTTTAACAGTTCTTGTTCGCGCTTGGTGAGATTTGAGTAACTCTCTTCAATATCTTTCAATTGTTCGCACTTATATTTTTCAAAAGCTTCTATTTCAGCATTTATTTTAGTTTCTAATTTAAGACTTTCTGCAGTTTTTGCTTTAATTTTATCGCTTTCATCATTGAGTTCTCTCTCCCATTCTCGTAATTTTCTTTCCCTTTCCTTCAACGGACCAGATTTTCCTTCAACATCATTTATTTTAGTTTTTAATTCTTTGATTTCAATCTCTTGATCACTAACTAATTTTTTAAGAACCTTAATATGATCTGACTGGCTGGAGATTTTTTTACTAATTAATTCCTTATGGGAGTTCAAATCTTTTTCAGCGTTTATATAGATTTCTTTTTGTTTATTGAAATGAGCAGTTTTCTGATCTAATTCCATTCTTGAATTTTCAAGACGCTCTTTCAAAATACACAAGTCTTTTTGAAGCTCAATAAATTCTTTCTGATCTTCTGTAAGATTTTTTCGGGCTTGTTCAACCTGCTTTGCCTGTTGATTCAACTCGACTCGTTCCTTTTCCGTTTCTACTTTCTCTTTTTCAATACGAATTCGCATTTTATCTAAATTTACATAGACGCGCGCTAATAAATTTTCTCTTTCATTTAAAACAGCCTTATCATGCCGAATATGTTCTTTTTCTTTTTCAAGTAATTCTCGCGCACCACATTCACATTTCGCGTTCTTTATAGCTTTGAGTAAGACAGGATCAACTGTATACTTGCTCAGGTCGTTTGACTTGCTAATAGTCTGGCTCTGAAAACTTTTGTGTTTGTGTGATTTTGATCGAGTTTCATCCTGAGAATTCAAACTCGCAGAGCCTAAATCTTCGTATCTGTCATGTCGACCCATTCAGATTAAAAGAATTTTTGTGAGTATTGCCAATTTTTTAATCAGTGTACCAAAACGGTTTTAGGCTTAATTCAACTACATCAATTACTGATTGTAATATTTTAGAAAATTCAAAACTCAACTACCTTGATTTAAATATTAATTTTCTGAATTACTCTGAAATAAACTTGATATAAACCACGACCAACAATATTATTTAGTTTATGTTAACTTTTAAAATAATTCTAGCATAAATTTGATATATATTATCACAATGGTTCATATAAAGCAAGAAAAAATGAGTAAATTATTACTTATATAGTTATTATGAACTGGTGTGGAAAACTAAGATGTGTGCGAAATTGAGACTTAGAATCCTGGGCCTCCCTTAATCTTCTTTTCACCTCCAAGTTCGAAAACCTTGCATCTCTTAAGTGGCAGTAGTCTTTTGTATTTGCAAACATTGCATTCAAGTTTTAATACAATTTTTTTAGTAGTCTTGACTTTGTTGTGTTGAATGGGTCTAGTTTGACCTCCAAATCCTTGTTGCTTACGGTCATATCTTCTCTTACCCTGTCGTACTAAAGAATTCTTTCCCTGCTTGTATTGAGAAACTTTGTGTGGTTGGTGCTTTCGGCATTTTTTGCCTGGACAGTATGTGTTTCGTGCTTTGGGAATATTTACCTAAAAAGAATTTTGTATCAAATAACTATGTACTTACCATTTTTATTCTTTAGAACTCTTCGTTCAATTTGGAAATAATAAATTTAAATGTTTTGTCTAAAAAGTTACTAATTGAGAATAAAAAATATAATGCTCATGAACTTTTATAACAGTTTTATTTTTACCTGGATCGACGAGTATAAAGTACCATTGGTATGAGCCTTCTGGATTCTTATTTCGTTTATTTTAAATTATTTATTCGATAAAAAAAAACTAAATACACACCACGAAATGTAATATAAAGGCGCGAAAAAAATATATAAAGCTATAATGGCTCAATTAAAGACTTATTGCTGAGCTCGGAGAGCCTTTTGAATCAAGCTTCGCTTTCTAAGCCCACGAGAGTGAGAACCTACTCTCTTTTTGCAGAACTTAAGAGCTCTTTTAGTACCAGAAACAGTTCCAAGTTTAAGAAGTTCGATAATGTGTTTCTCATATGGTGCAAATCCAGCAACTTCAGTGATTACTGAGTTGACTAATTGTCGACGAGCATTAGTCTTGAAAGATTGCTTGCGGGGAATGACGTCTTCAGGAACGGTCTTATCGACCTTGTAAGATGGAATCTTTAGTTTTTTTTCAGCTAAAAAAATATTTTAATACAAGCGCTTCGCCTTCTACTCAATTCAAACGTTTATTATTGACAAAGAAACTTGAAAGGGAAGAAAGCTTCGCTCTATTATAACTTACACTTATCTTTTCTCGCCATTTTGAATTTGATAGACTTTACAATAAAAAAAAAATAAGACAATACAATAATTAATGAATAAAACTAAAAATGAAAATGAACGATGACTGTACGTTCTTTGTGCTAAATTAAACGTTTTATAGTGTTACAACGTCTGGAAAATTTTACTGCGGCTATCGACCAATTTTCCGAAAAAAATTTCAGTCAAAATAATTATGCAGATTCCGACGAAATCGAAATAGACAATGTACAAACAGAACAAATTTTCGATGTAAATAGTCCTAGAGAAATAGAGCTGACTTTAAACATCGGTTTGTTCGATATAAATCAAACAAACATGTCTAGTGATAATAAATTCATAAACATAGAGCAGCAGATAGACGAGTCACGCTTAGACGAACTGAATGCAAACTCCGTGGTTAGCATCGAGAAACTAGCTGATATTTCTATTGATAATTTATGTGACCAATACGCTTTGTCCAAAGACTTGCTAGCGAACACAAACAATTCAGAAGAAATAGATGCTAGCTTGAGCGACAACAAAACTAGTTCCGATTCTGAATTTGAACGAAATTGTATAACATCTGTGAATGAAAAATATTTCAACAAATAAAACAAATGGGTGAACGACGTCACAGACGGCTCTTCAATATAAATAGAAAAGACAATTTAATGTAAAATTGATTATAATTAATTCTCGTCAGAAGCTGATAAGTCGATTGGTGCGCGATGGATACGCAGGTTAGGGTTGAACGATTCTTTCGTTATGTAATACTTGCATTCAGTGTGTTCAGTGTCATTCAAAATAATGTCACAAATTTCTCTAAATATAGCGTAAGAATTGTTGAGCTTGAAATCGTATTGAACCATTAATTCGTTGATCTTGGCGGAATGGATGTTAAGTAGAGAGTGTTCGTTATTGTTGGTAGAAACAAATCCTAGTTTCATTGTAGAAGCGCCTGATACAATACAATTGACTAGCCAACGTCCAAAAACGTTACTGTTTTCACGTAGCTCACGAACAATAACAAATCCTTTTTCTTTTTGTAAACTTTGTTTCCAAGTCGATTTTTTGGAAGGAATTAATCCTTCGTTGAAGCAATGAATATTATGATATTCAGATATATTGCCGTTTATGTCAGTAGACGCCGCATGGATAAATCCTCTGACATGGACAGTTAGCGGACGCATAGAGACAGCTGAACCATATTGACTGGAGACGGAATTTATAGGAGGGATGACTAGTTGTCTGTAATGGTACAACTGAGAGTTGTAGATAGGATGCACGTTTTCAAACTCGATATCGTCACCAGCTACGACGATGTTTTCTTTGTCTAAACAGAAATTTTGAAAGTTACAGTTAATGACCGCAGCTTTTTTGGCTATTTCTTTTTGCGAAACGTCTGCTGGAAGATCACTGTGTTCTCCAACGATGTTCAAATCAACAAAATTGTTTTCTTCGGGTACATCAAACACTAAAGTTTTACCGAATTTGTAACAAACAACTTGCCAACCATAGCGCGACAAATTCACGCACATCAATAAGGCCAAGATGTTAGAAGTTATTACAGCGTCAACTTCTGGATTTTCGGCCGAATTACACAAGGTTTCGTCGTCTAAACACTTTGGATGGTCAGAGAGAAGAACTTTGTTAAGGCTCTCAGGTAGAATCAACGGATTTGTTGGTTGAATTAGCTCAAAGTCAGGCTTGAAAGCGTAGGCTTGTCCTTTCCATCCTATTGTAGAAATTTCCACTTTGTTTGATGGCAACGAGAGACTACATAGTTTTTGTGAATTCAAATCGTACAATAATTCGTACTTGGGAGGAAGTTGAATAGAAAACTCGCTCATAACCAAACCCATACGTGAATGAGGATAACGGAAGCCGTGATTCAAGTTGGGTCTAAACGAGTTGGAATAGAATCTGTCTTTTTTGCCTGACGAGTAAAGTTTGTTATCAAATTTGGTGTTAACAGACTTGAAGCGGTTGACAACTTGAGATCTACCAAGTTGTTTACGCTTTAAGTATTTCTGTTTTCCGTCGGTCGAAGCACTGTTGGCGTCTTTAGAATCTGCCACTTTAACCAGCAGAGGTGGCTTGGACGTATGATTGAAACCGAAATCTGTTACTCTAGGGTTAGCATGTCTGAGGCTAGATGGACATATTGTAAGTATTTTATTCTGGTAAATACATTCGCTTAAATGAGGAGTTATTGTAGGTTTATCAGCTAGAACATTTTTAGGCAAAAGATTCATAATAAACTAAACTTTCGTTAATTATTTCTTTTCAAAAAATTTTGTAATTTTAAATTTCTCTTTATTTTAATTTACAATCAGGCCGACAGCCAAACCTATACAAAATATTGACATGTATATACTCAAACGTTCTCCAATCCTTGCTAAGCGACCCATCATCTAAAAAAATGTATAAACTTTACTCTACATACACCTTTAAAACCTGCATATTTGTGATTTATTATGTGCGGAAAAGATTTTTTCAGATAAGTGCAATTACATATCACAAGACAAAGCACAATCAGAAGCGATTGAAGATTGAATAACGCGGACATTTTTTAATTTTATTGTAAATAGTCTATAATTTAAATTTTACTATCATAATTATCACTAGTATAAACGCTAACACATCAAGAAGTTTTCTTGCCTCGTACAATGAGTCTCACATAATTTTTTCATATTTTTTTATTTTGCTTTTAGCTAGAACGAGCTCAGAAAGATGCGTTATATAGACGAGCTTAACTACATAAACTCAATTGTCGATGTCTTGTTTACAAAACTTCGTCCTTTTAATTTTGTCAAGTTTTGTTTTCTTATTTGGCGCAACTTGCCTCAGGAATTGCTTAATCAAGTTTTACAACTCGGAAATTCAGCTACCTACTCATGGAATGAAATAGAAGTGTCAAATCTTTATTTAGCCTTCATACTTTACGCTTTTGAAAACCATATATGCATAGCAAGCCAAGAAAAAGCGCAAGCATTGACTTTTACGTTTTTAAAGAGATATCCACGTGGTACTTCATCGGATAATCAAACGAAAATACTTTGGAAAAAAGTCGCTCCTGGCATCATGAAAGAGTATAACTCGTATACTACACAAACTAAAGAAACAATGCTTAAGCTGTTGCAAACGGTTTGTTGCGACTTTTTAGATTTACGTGGTGACGCCTTACTTGTAAAATTAACATGGCTTTATACAAATACCATCGTCAATGAAAACTTGCATGATCCAGACACGCTTTGGATATTTATTTGTAAAACATTCTCTATTGATATTACTGAAAGTAGCAATTATGACAATATA